AAGCAATCCCTCTGGAAGACGTCAGCGCTGATACGGTGGCCCTGGCACTATTAAATGGTTGGATTAAGAATTTCGGTGTACCGCTGCGGATTNTTAAGGCCTCAATCATGTGCAGCAATTCTACAAACTGGTCATATCAGCTTCCATTGATCTTGTTGGGTCTACGATCTGTTTACAAGCCAGACATCAAAGCGACGCCTGCTGAACTCGTCTATGGCACATCGATCAGACTACCAGGTGACATGTGTGAGACACGTAAGAGCACATCACAATCTGAGTTTGTTCAGAAATTGTTGAATCATATGCATGAGCTCCAGCCCACGAGTACATCTCATCACGACAACCGTAGGCCGTTTATGTTACCAGGGTTGGCAACAGCTACACATGCTTTTGTGCGCAACGACACAGTGAAGCCTGCATTAACTCCACCATACAACGGCCCTTACGACGTTGAAAGTCGAGCTCCTAAAACCTACGTGCTCAAGATCAACAACAAATCTGTCACGGTTTCTATAGATCGCATTAAACCTGCCTTTGTTAGCCACTCTCCGGAAGAAGCGCAACATCCAGTGCAACTAGTGCCCGCATCAGGAACTAAACATCAGACGACTGATTCTGAAGAGAAACAACCTACTTCGACAAATTTAAAGACAAGGCTGGGACGAACAGTCAGACTTCCATCACGCTACGCTCTTTAGAAGTCTGGAGGGAGTATTGTGGCAACACCAAATCCAGCAAGACAAAAATGCAACTCTGCTTATTCGTTTAGCGTTGCTCCTTTTTTTGCTTTCTTTCTTTTTGCTGCTGGAAATCATCCGAGACGATCGCGTGTTCCTTGGGTATCCTTACATTTATATATGTGACTTTTATTAACTTGTTTTTGATAAATAGAAAATATTGTACGAGTTTAATTTAAAATAAATAAAGCGTATTCGTAAGTGGAACTATATCCACAAGTACCTAGTTTTATTATTGCTCGACATAATTTTTTTAATTTTAAGAGCAAAAATTGACCAACACTAACCATTATATATGGTAACAAGAATGATATAATACAAGATTCCGCATTCCCGGCGGCGATGAAAGTTCTCAAATAAAAGTAAACAAAGCCGAATGGGAGGATCAAAATAGTAAATTTTCTCAAGNGACGATCGCGTGTTCCTTGGGTATCCTTACATTTATATATGTGACTTTTATTAACTTGTTTTTGATAAATAGAAAATATTGTACGAGTTTAATTTAAAATAAATAAAGCGTATTCGTAAGTGGAACTATATCCACAAGTACCTAGTTTTATTATTGCTCGACATAATTTTTTTAATTTTAAGAGCAAAAATTGACCAACACTAACCATTATATATGGTAACAAGAATGATATAATACAAGATTCCGCATTCCCGGCGG